TCAGGTCAGTGCTGATTCAGTTCAGTTCAATAACTGTGTAAAATGATCAATTATGAATCAAGTTCAATTCAGCTATAAGCAGCTCTACAGAAGCCAACAGTGTAGATATTCAACTCAAGTCACTTCAATATTGATTCAATTCAGTTTAATAGCAGTGTCGATGATGCAAATTCATCAATTCAGTCAACAGTTCAATTCAGCTTAATAACTTCATTGTAATTTAGTTCTTCAGAACATCGATTCAGCTATAAAGCAGCTCTACATTAGACAATTGTGTTGTTCAGTTCAAGTTTCGCCAGTGCAGTCAAATCGATATTACTGCAAATGTCTTTTAAGCCCCAACACGCACAATTAATCTGTATGCCAACTGTCACGCTTAACATTCCAAAAAATGTTAATATTAATTCTGGTCAAATTGACCTTACAGCCTAACGACCAAGGCAAATGGCACAAAACGCCTTCCACCCTTCACCCAGAGGAGCGTGAGCGGCGATCGCTGACACGGGTCATGCTCTCAGACGCCACCATGATGTGGCGGAGAGACAATAGTACCCTGCAGGACGGTGTGGCTGCCCGGCCTCTGCTGCTGTTCCCTGGGACCCAGGGGGCCTCCGCATCCGTGCAGCCCACGGAAGCAGCAGATGTCGGGGCTGCTGTGCCGCCGCACCCCCCGCTCCTGCCCTGGGGCTGTGTGCAGAGCGAGCTGCGTGTGTAGGACACTGAGACAGATGGCAGGGGGTGCGGGCAAGGCTGAACAGAGGATGCGAGCCGTCCGCAGTGCCAACACTGGATTCATATGCATGTATGGCATGTTTACCTCTGTGGATTGAAACCTATAAATGTGCCCTTTATTAGTGATGGGTTTTACGCCTCTGGACTGTTAATGTGGCACTGCAAGCATTTGACTGGTAGTCAAATCCTGTCTAAGAAGAATGTTTTTAGGAGATAAAATAGTAAAAGTAATAGGAATGTTTGTGATATAGTAACAAAAAATATGACAAACAACATTTGTTCACATACTGTACATTCCAGAGGAAACGTGTCTGCAAAATGTAACGCTGCACCACCCGGCACTTCTAGATGACTAAGTGTGTCTCATGGACAAAACAAAGCAGAGAGCTGCTCTGTCATGAGCTGTCTGGGATGATAGCGCCATCTAGCGTTCAGGTGATTTGAGACTTTAACGCAACACATCCCCCAAGTTGTGCAAGCAGCATCACTCAGACACAAATCTCCATGTGTGAAATGTAGGCCACTGTGTCTGGAAAAGAGACAGAAAAAGAGAGAAAACAATATCCTTATGTAACCAGTGATGACAAAAATGCTGAAGGATTAGTGAATATAAACTCTGAAGACTGAAAGAAAACAACATTATCTTGGCAATAAGCTTGAATCATATTTTTTTTCCCTACTTGTTTATTTATGGGGTAAAAAAAACTGCAAACTTTCCATAGTTTGAACAAAGCAGACACTTAAACAGTGCAGAATATCTACTGAATTAAAGAGCTTCTTGATCATTGGTGAAGAACATTATGTAGGTATATAGATGTTCCCCTGCCATGCTGGCATTGACCTTTGACCCATATATATATATTTTTTTTTTAAGGCAGATTTTTGCATGTACTGACAGTTTCTTCATACACTGAGAAAAATGGTGGTATTATAAAGACAAAATGTATCCAGAATAAAGTAATTGACTTTTTTATTGTCATTATACAAAAGCCTAAAGAAATGATTAAACTATTACTATATATTAAGTTAACACCGGGTTTTTTTTCAGTCCACTATTACAGTAATGTTAGACGTAACCCTGAAGAACATTTTTTTTATTTATTTGCATACCGATTTACATAATAAATACTGTTCTAAAGCGCCACAGTGAGCAAGAGAAAGACCACAGTTACTAGGCGAAACTCTGTAGTAAGATACGCGACACAAATGCAAACTATTCATATTCACTATTTCACTATTTACTATTAATTATAATAAAAATCACAATCAATCTCTTGGTTTCCAACCAGCCTTTAGAAAGCAGAATGAAGCTGCAATAATGTCAAGTTTGCAAATGTGTTTAAAAAAAAAAGCGCACTACACATGTTCCATTAATATTGAAGGTTAAAGGAATAGTTCACCCAGAAATGAAAATTTGCTGAAAATGTACTCACCCTCAGGTCATCAAAGATGTAGATGAGTTTGTTTCTTCATCAGAAAAGATTTTGAGAAATGTAGCATTACATCATTTGCTCACCAGTGGATCATCTGCAGTGAATGGGTGCCGTCAGAGTGAGAGTCCGAACAGCTGATAAATCGCAATAATCTACAAGTAATCCACACCACACCAGTCCATCAATTAACGTATTGTGAAGTGAAAAGTGGTGTGTTTGCAATAAACATATCCAGTATTAAGAAGTTTTTAACTTCAGACAGTTGTTTTCCCGGCTAAAATATGAATCCTCCATCCATAATATTGCTTTCTCCAGTGAAAAGGTTATTTAATCTGAATCAGGAGAGAAATATGAACATATCAAGCATTGTTTACAAGCAAAAACTGTTCAAAACCATTCTAAATTAATATGTTAGTGGATTTTGATGTGAGAGGACAACTGGGGATGAACTTTTTCACTGGAGAAAGCGTTATAATCGATTTTGGACTTTTAAGGTTACAATGCCTTAATGATGGATTTGTTATTTACAATCATGCAGCTATTCGCTTCACAAGACAGTAACTGATGGACTGGAGTGGTGTGGATTGCTTGTGGATTATTGTGATATTTTTATCAGCTATTTGGACTCTCATTCTGACAGCACCCACTGCAGAGGATCCATTGTTGAGCAAGCGATGCAATGCTACATTTCTCCAACTCCTTTCAGATTAAGGAAACAAACTCATCTTGGATGGCCTGAGGGAGAGTACATTTTCAGAAAACTTTTGGGTGAACTATTCATTCAATACTTTATAAACAGCCTTAATAAATCCATTTTATAAAATATTTTGCAACCCCCTAGACCCCAGTTTAAAAACCCCTGACTTCCTACACTAAAAAAGAGCTATCTCCACCATTTTTATTTTTCAAATCTAATGGTTTCTCAGCTTCAGTTGCCTCATATAATAGCAAAATTTCCTCTGGTTGCACACAGGACTGTGCACTAACTGCATCATGACCACTTCGCATTCTGACACCCATTTGACATACTGCTTTTTGCATACTATTGCATACTCGGACGCGGGGTTTACCTCAGCCCTCATGAAAAAGATTGGGCTTAGGTTGAGATGACATGTATTATTCATCGCAACGCCCCATTGTTTGACCATTAAGATGATGTAACATCTCCATTTTGGCAGGCGGGCAAACTGTCTGGGTCCCGCTACATCAGGAGACGCGTCTCTTGACTTTTTGAACTCTGTTGGCTTCTCCACACGACGCCAGCCGTGTAAGCGCATCGTATATCACGGGTGAGAGGGAAACGGTGGCATTGCCATTGATAGCGTTTATGCTTCGCCGCCTCACCGACATAATGAGCACATTATCTGCGCGCTCTAGGACTGCTGCGCTCGCCCCCGCACTTTAAATATTCATGTCCTATGTGTACGAAAAAAAAAAAAGGTATGAGACAGTTGGTGAAGAAAGACCGCACAATGACTGCATCGTGTTTTTCTTCATCAGTGCATCTGTAACAACTCAGAATATGTGTTCAGTTTCAATATTTAAATCTGCTTTACCGTAATGCATTAGCGGAAATATATAGGCAGCTGTCATTTTGGAGTTTCAGCACCATGGACAGCTCTAATTATCTTTCCAATATAAAATCTGACATGATTCAGCCTTTCTCCAGTTAGTTGCATAAAGCTGTACTGTGTACAACAAGACAAACATGGAAAACAAGAAGCAATGCTTGGTGAATGGTAAATGGATTGTGATTTTTTTTTCATACTTTGTGACATTTTGTCACATTTGAAAGGAAACATTTAAATAGACATGAAAGATGTAAGCTTTTTTTTAAAGTACACTCAGAAATAAAGGCACAAAAGCTGTCACTGGGGTGGTACCTTTTCAAAAGGTACACTTTTGTTCCTATTAGGTTCTAATGGGTACACTTTAAGTATTAATATATACCAAAGGTTAGGTTAAGGTACTACAATGGACCCTTTAGGTACAGACATGTACCTTTTGAAAAGGTACCGCCCCAGTGACAGCTTTTGTGCCTTTATTTCTGAGAGTGTACTGAATGCCTCTTTGTAACTGCTTGTGTAACCATGGAAATAACACTTATTGACTGAAGAAGGAAGAGTGTGTGTTAAAATGAACATAACCTGTCATGTGAGGACATGCACTTTTCTAAGCATTCCTGACCACAAAACATATCCCAGAGTTAGTTGTAATGAGCAGGCATATAACTACTTGAAGAGTTTGTGGAATTTCAACAAAAATGCAATTTACATCATTCAGAGCCTCATAATAGATGCACAACCTTGAACATGGGTTATGGTGTTGCAAAATTGCTAACAAATGCTCTGAGAGCATTTAAAATGTTGAGGTTTTTTTATTATTGTTGTTTAATCACATCTCTATCTATATATATACATGTTTCTCCAAGTTGAAGGCATGCAGGGAGCAAAAACCAATTATATTTTCTTAATTATTCACAACTTTAGGCTTAAATAACTGTGAATGTGTTTTATTTGCACATCATGTATTACACATTAAATGGCGCAGACAGTCACCACACTATATGAAAAATTCAATGTTTTACTAAGTTCAAAGTTTAGACTCAAATTAAATATGTTTTCAATAAGATACTGAAAAAAAATCTGTTAGTGAAAAGTTTTTTTTTCTTAACTTTCTGCAATGCCAAATCTATCTCCAATTATAGAATCACCCATATATATATATAAAAAAATTGTTTTTATGAAAATGAAAAGCAATGTTCAGATCTTTTAAACTGGTTTTATAGTTTGGAAAAAAAGAATATCTGCAGGACATTAAAATAATGCATTTGACATGATTCTGCGGTGGAGCTCAAGCTTCTGGAAGGTATCAGAGGGAACCGTTCAGGTGTGTTTAGGGTTAGAGCTTAACTCTGCAGGACAGTGGCCCTCCAGGAACAGGTTTGGATACCCTTGACATAGAAGAACCTTTTTGGTTTCTTAGAAGAAACTTTTTTTTTTCTTAGTGTAAAGAACATTTTAAGAATCTAAAGAACCTGTTTTTTTAATATACACTCTTAAAAATAAAGGTTCCAAAAAGCGGTTTTCACAGCAATGCCGAAGAACAATTTTTGGTTCCCAAAAGAACCTTTCAGTGAACAGTTCTTAAAAGAACCATTTTATTTTTCTTGGTCTGAAGAACATTTGAATCATCTGAAGAACCGTTTTCCACTATAAAGGATCTTTTGTGGAATGGAAAGGTTCCATGGATGTTAAAGGTTCTTCACAGAACCATCAATGCAAATGAAGAATCTTTATTTTTAAGAATGAAGTTTTGTTGTGTTAAAACAAGGATCCAAAGTCCTCAGTTATATGTTGTTTTAACGATTGGCGTGTTTGCTTGAGTTCAAAAACAAATTCAATTGATTCCACTTTGCCCCCTCTGGCCGTTCTGAAGGTGTTATGATGTTTTGAAGCCTGGTACATTTTTAAAACACTTATGTTATTAAAATTAATATCACTGAAGATATTTATTGCCTAAAATATGCATAATCAGCAGCAGGACACTTTCAGATTCACATCACCAACTGTCAATCACATCAAGCAGAAGGAAGAGTCTTGACCAGTCTTGACAACAGGATTATAAACTAAATCAAACTTGTTCACTCTTAGGTCACACACATTGGTGTCGTGCTCCTGTCATTGAGGCTGGTGGTCATGACAGTGGGCTATTCCATCCCCATTCGCATTGAGGCTTTTGGTGAGTGCGAACCGCTGTTCGTGGACCGCCAGGCCGCCCAAAAGAACCTTTCAGTGAACAGTTCTTAAAAGAACCATTTTATTTTTCTTGGTCTGAAGAACATTTGAATCATCTGAAGAACCGTTTTCCACTATAAAGGATCTTTTGTGGAATGGAAAGGTTCCATGGATGTTAAAGTTTCTTCACAGAACCATCAATGCAAATGAAGAATCTTTATTTTTAAGAATTAAGTTTTGTTGTGTTAAAACAAGGATCCAAAGTCCTCAGTTATATGTTGTTTTAACGATTGGCGTGTTTGCTTGAGTTCAAAAACAAATTCAATTGATTCCACTTTGCCCCCTCTGGCCGTTCTGAAAGTGTTATGATGTTTTGAAGCCTGGTACATTTTTAAAACACTTATGTTATTAAAATTAATATCACTGAAGATATTTATTGCCTAAAATATGCATAATCAGCAGCAGTTCACTTTCAGATTCACATCACCAACTGTCAATCACATCAAGCAGAAGGAAGAGTCTTGACAACAGGATTATAAACTAAATCAAACTTGTTCACTCTTAGGTCACACACGTTGGTGTCGTGCTCCTGTCATTGAGGCTGGTGGTCATGACAGTGGGCTATTCCATCCCCATTCGCATTGAGGCTTTTGGTGAGTGCGAACTGCTGTTCGTGGACCGCCAGGCCATACGTCACAATCGCTCGCCACACATATGCGTGCTGGTCGGGACGGGGCTTCTCACTCTGGGTGGGGTTCTGATGGCAGGTGGAATCCTGATGTCTAACTTCTCCACAACTCCCACAAAACAGGAAGACTCCAAAGGAGAACGAAAGGGGGGAACCAGAGTCCCGAGTGCAATGAGAAGCCCAGCAGACCCTGTAGTGAAGCCTCCCAGCCCGGTCTCTAGTGACGGAGGACTATCTCCTCTCGCTAGGGACAATAAAGTTCAGCAGTGCTCGTAAAAGAGGTGTGTGACAATGCCCGTTCAAGAGTGCTGTCAATGTGATCAACAAAAGCTCCTTGTTTATTTCAATTATAATATTTTTAAGAATTAAGTTTTGTTGTGTTAAAACAAGGATCCAAAGTCCTCAGTTATATGTTGTTTTAACGATTGGCGTGTTTGCTTGAGTTCAAAAACAAATTCAATTGATTCCACTTTGCCCCCTCTGGCCGTTCTGAAAGTGTTATGATGTTTTGAAGCCTGGTACATTTTTAAAACACTTATGTTATTAAAATTAATATCACTGAAGATATTTATTGCCTAAAATATGCATAATCAGCAGCAGTTCACTTTCAGATTCACATCACCAACTGTCAATCACATCAAGCAGAAGGAAGAGTCTTGACAACAGGATTATAAACTAAATCAAACTTGTTCACTCTTAGGTCACACACATTGGTGTCGTGCTCCTGTCATTGAGGCTGGTGGTCATGACAGTGGGCTATTCCATCCCCATTCGCATTGAGGCTTTTGGTGAGTGCGAACCGCTGTTCGTGGACCGCCAGGCCGTACGTCACAATCGCTCGCCACACATATGCGTGCTGGTCGGGACGGGGCTTCTCACTCTGGGTGGGGTTCTGATGGCAGGTGGAATCCTGATGTCTAACTTCTCCACAACTACCATAAAACAGGAAGACTCCAAAGGAGACCGAAAGGGGGGAACCAGAGTCCCGAGTGCAATGAGAAGCCCAGCAGACCCTGTAGTGAAGCCTCCCAGCCCGGTCTCTAGTGACGGAGGACTATCTCCTCTCGCTAGGGACAATAAAGTTCAGCAGTGCTCGTAAAAGAGGTGTGTGACAATGCCCGTTCAAGAGTGCTGTCAATGTGATCAACAAAAGCTCCTTGTTTATTTCAATTATAAATTTGGGAGTGTCTTATTTGTGTTTGATAATTATGTGCTACGAGAATTAAATGGACAAGTACTTGTGCCATCTGTTGTCCAGCACTTGTATAATTATTGTCAAAATAGGTTTTGTATTTTTGTATGTTACAGTATTGATCAAATGAACAGCCACCAAGTGGTTGAAAGGCAGCAAAAGAAAGTTCTGAATAATTTGGGGTCAGTAAGTGTTTTTTTTTTTAAAGAAATTAATACTTCTATTTAGCAAGGATGATTTCAATTGACAGTAAAGTCTTTTACATTCTTAGCATTCTATTCATCAACGTATCACGGTGTCCATGAAAATATGAAGCAGCACAACTGTTTTCAAAAAACAGTTATATAAATGTTTTTTTGAGCAGCAAATCAGCATATTAGAATAATTTCTGAAGGATCATGTTACACTGAAGACTGAAGTAATGATGCTGAAAATTCAGCTTTGCATCACAGGAATAAATTACAATTGAAGATATATTAAAATGGAAAACAGTTATTTTCAATTGCAATAATATTTCACAGTATTTGTTTTTACTGTATATTTGATTAAATAAATGCAGTCTTTGCATAAAAGTAATAAAAGTCTTCTAAAAAATATTACCAAACATAAAATATAATATATTAAAAGTAATAAAAATATAAATATTTAAAGCATCTTCTGTGCCCAGTCTGCATCTTCTAAAGTGTAAAGATGATTTCAGAAAGAAAATACCAATTACAATTCAGGTAGTAAATATGCAATTACAAAACTCAATTGGAATTCAGAATGCTGAAGGTTCTAAACACAAGTTTGAATGGAGTCTGATGCTAAGTTGTTCAGGTTGACTTAATTCAGGAAGAGGTTTAAAATTGAGCATTATTAGTTTAGAACAAACCCTGTAGAGGATGTCTGTGCAATATCAATACAGCACTGCCTTGCAAACACTAGAAATGCCAGTCATAATAATATACACAATCTGGCACAAACCTACTCTCACTGTCTCTATTTCTGGATCCCTGATATCTTTTTAATCAGATATTCTGCTCTTATGCATAACAAATCAGGTAATAGTTTTGTTCTCACTGCATTTTTGCTCGTTACTCTTTCATGAGCTGCAGTTGTGTGAAAGTCTAAATGGGATTTATTGTGCACAACACCGTAATTGCCTAGTCTCATTGTCTCATTATGTTAATGTATATTAATGCTCTTCTCTAAACAAGCCCAATAAATAAATGTCAGCATACTCAATCCACTTGACATTTTGTGTATTATTATTATTATAGTTTTTTTTTCTGAATGATCATGTTCATTGACACCTTTTCATTCATTGATGATGTGAATGAAAGAAAACCACACTCAGAAGGGTGTGATCTTGTAACAGCGGTCTCTTTTCATATTGTCTGTCAGTAGGCAGTTTGAGTGACTGTAAATAGATGCAGGAAACAGCGATGACTCTTCCCAGCCCTGTTCCCTGCTTCCACTAAACCTCTTTCTCTCTCTCACGAGGGCTTGCTGTGAGTCACCTTCCCTCATATAACAGTCATAGCTCACAGTACGTGGGCTGTTAACAATCAATTAACCAGCGCTCCACACGTAGAGCCATCATCAAGAATCATTCACTCCTCTGCGGCTACATGTATTCAGAAAAAAAGAGTGAGATGGGAAGAAATGTTGTTTGTCTTCAGCTTTAGGTCATGTGCTTGATGCCTGTAATGTGTTGGCAGGTTGTTAACATGTTTGTTTAGAAAAGCCACACCAGATGAACACTACAGCGTGTTGAAGTGTGCCTGAGTGTGCTGAAAATATGCCCTAGCACTCAGGATGACCTACCTATATCCATCGTTTTAATGTTGGGGATAGGGTTTAGTGGTACAGGTGTGGGTTAGTCGCTATATCAATGGTGGCAGAACATCCTGAATGTTTTTTTTTGTGCGTAATGTACTAACATTTTCATAACATATTTGCAATGCTAGTACTTTTTTCTCCCTGAAGAGATATTTACATTAGATATGACAAACCATGAACATCATGACACATGGTCATGTGGCAGTCAAGAACCAATGAGGTTTGACATTAAAGGAATCATTCACCCAAAAAGGTGAACTATCTTGGAAAAAGGCCATCCAAGATGTAGATGAGTTTCTTTCAGAAATGTAACATTACATCACTTGCTCACCAATGGATCCTCTGCAGTGAATGGGTGCCGTCAGAATGAGAGTCCAAACAGCTGATAAAAATATCACAATACTCCACAAGTAATCCACATGACTCAAGTCCATCAGTTAACGTCTTGTGAAGCAAAATGATGAATGAAGTGAAAAGACACCAACATTTATTCAGCATTTATATGTTTTGACTTGTAAACAGTGCTTTTGTGTATTATTATTATATTTTTTTTTTCTGAATGATCATGTTCATTGACACCTTTTCATTCATTGATGATGTGAATGAAAGAAAACCACACTCAGAAGGGTGTGATCTTGTAACAGCGGTCTCTTTTCATATTGTCTGTCAGTAGGCAGTTTGAGTGACTGTAAATAGATGCAGGAAACAGCGATGACTCTTCCCAGCCCTGTTCCCTGCTTCCACTAAACCTCTTTCTCTCTCTCACGAGGGCTTGCTGTGAGTCACCTTCCCTCATATAACAGTCATAGCTCACAGTACGTGGGCTGTTAACAATCAATTAACCAGCGCTCCACACGTAGAGCCATCATCAAGAATCATTCACTCCTCTGCGGCTACATGTATTCAGAAAAAAAGAGTGAGATGGGAAGAAATGTTGTTTGTCTTCAGCTTTAGGTCATGTGCTTGATGCCTGTAATGTGTTGGCAGGTTGTTAACATGTTTGTTTAGAAAAGCCACACCAGATGAACACTACAGCGTGTTGAAGTGTGCCTGAGTGTGCTGAAAATATGCCCTAGCACTCAGGATGACCTACCTATATCCATCGTTTTAATGTTGGGGATAGGGTTTAGTGGTACAGGTGTGGGTTAGTCGCTATATCAATGGTGGCAGAACATCCTGAATGTTTTTTTTTGTGCGTAATGTACTAACATTTTCATAACATATTTGCAATGCTAGTACTTTTTTCTCCCTGAAGAGATATTTACATTAGATATGACAAACCATGAACATCATGACACATGGTCATGTGGCAGTCAAGAACCAATGAGGTTTGACATTAAAGGAATCATTCACCCAAAAAGGTGAACTATCTTGGAAAAAGGCCATCCAAGATGTAGATGAGTTTCTTTCAGAAATGTAACATTACATCACTTGCTCACCAATGGATCCTCTGCAGTGAATGGGTGCCGTCAGAATGAGAGTCCAAACAGCTGATAAAAATATCACAATACTCCACAAGTAATCCACATGACTCAAGTCCATCAGTTAACGTCTTGTGAAGCAAAATGATGAATGAAGTGAAAAGACACCAACATTTATTCAGCATTTATATGTTTTGACTTGTAAACAGTGCTTGATCTGTGCATATTTCTCTCCTGATTCAGACAAGATGACTTTTTAACTGGAAAAAGCAATATTATGGATAGCCGATTCATATTTTAGCCAAAAGCAATGATTTGAAGACAAAAACATCTTAATGGATTTGTTTATTACAAACACGCAGCTTTTCACTTCACAAGATGTTAATTGATGGACTGGGAGTAATATGGATTACCATTGACTTCCGAAGTGTGAAAAAAAATGCTATGGCTACCAGCAACTGTTTGGATGCCAACATTCTTCAAAATATCTTCTTTTGTGTTCAACAGAAGAAAGAAACTCATATGGGTTTGGAACAACTTGAGGGTAAGTAAATGATGACAGAATGTTCCTTTTTAGGTGAACAATCCCTTTAAGAGCACTGAGAAATGGCATTTTTCAGACCTGGAACAGTCCTGTGCACTACCTGTGATGCACACGCACTGACCAAGTGACCAAGAATGCAAGTGTGGGTATTGGGGAAGGCCCATACTTTGGACTTCAATTGAGGTTTGTGTTTTGGGTCCCATTGACTTTAGCTGAAACATTCTTCTTTGTGTGTGTGTGTGCACGCGCATGTGTGTCCTGCAGAAGGAAGAAAACCATGCAAGTTTGGAATGAC